TCGTGAATTGCTAAGATTTTCGCATGATTGGATGATGTGGCTGTTATAGTTTATTTTCTGGATCGCCACGAAATGGTTGTACCACCACAAGTGAACAAATATCATGTCTGAGATATCCTGCATTTGCATATCCCACTAAATCCAACTTCGATGCAGTCGAATAGAACAAGCCCATATCCGTCGTTCCATGAAGGTAACGGAGCAAACGTTTAACTCCATTCCAATGTCTTTTAGTGGGAGAAGAGCTATATCTTGCCAATATATTCACAGGAAACGATATATCGGGTCGTGTGTGACTGGCTAGATACATTAATGCTCCTATCGCGCTAATATATGGCACTTCAGGGCCAAGCAGATCTTCATCACTTTCTCGAGGTCTAAATGGATCTCTTTGACATCAAGTGATCTTACAACCATTGGATTACTCAATGGGTGTGAATTGTCCATATAAAATCGCTTAAGCACCTTTTAAACATATCCTTCTTGATGCACAAAAATACCATCCTTCAAATGTTCAATGTGTAATCCAAGACAAAACTTTGTTCTTCCTAAATCTTGCATTTCAAACTCTTTCTTCAAGCAATCAACTGCTTTTGAAAGCTCTTCGGGAGTTCCAATGATGTTTATGTCATCAACATAAACTGATATTATAACAAACTCACTACCCGATCTCTTTATAAAAACACATGACAGATAGGGTCATTCTTGTATCCTTCTTTCATCAAATATTCACTGAGACGATTGTACCACATTCGTCCAGCTTGTTTCAATCTATACAAGGATTTGTCCAATTTGATAGTTTGTTTGCTTCTAGCAAAGTGAATCCTGCAGGGAGTTTCATATATATATATCATTCTCAAGTGATCCGTACAAATAGGCTGTCACAACATCCATTAGACGCAGATCTAGTCCTTCTTGAACTACCAGACTAATCAAGTATCGAAACGTAGTTGCATCCACCACAGGGGAGTATGTCTCCTCATAATCAATGACATGTCTCTATGAGAATCCTTGTGTGACAAGACGTGCTTTATATCTCATTACTTCACCCTTTTCATTTATTTTCCGCACAAAAACCCATTTTTATCCCACTGGCTTTACGTTTTCTGGTGTAAGGACTACCGGTCCAAAAACCTTTCGCTTTGAAAGCGAGTTTAATTCTGCATCAATGGCCTCTTTCCACTTTGGCCAATCATCTCTTGACTTGCATTCATCAATAGATCTTGGTTCATGATCCTCATTTTCATTCATCACACTCAACGCTGCAGCGTAAGCAAAAACATCGTCGACGATTATTTCACTTCGGTTCCAACATATTCCATCCAAGACATAATTGATTGAGATATCTTCATTATCAAAACTTTCAGGTACCTGATGTTCTTCGGGAACTACAATCTTAGTTATGCTTGGGGACTCTTCTTGAGCTTTCATATCCTCGATTTGACCATCTTGATTCATAACTCTCTTTTTTTTCGAGGATTTTTATCCTTGGAACCTACTGGTCTACCATGCTTCGTTCGTGGTTTAGATTAATTTGCAATTTCAAATTGTCCAACAGGGACATCAACTTTCACTAGAGCATTTACAGCTGGTATGTGTGACTTTGTCACTCTCTTCTGGTCGGTAAAAGAATCCGGCAGTTGGCTTGCTAAACCTTGTAAATGAATTATCTTTTGAACTTCCAGGTCACATTGTCTAGTATGAGGATCAAGGTGAGATAATGATAATTCATTCCAACAAATATCTTTTTCCAGCTGTTTGTTCTCACCCCCTAATGTTGGAAAAACTGATTCGTCAAAATGACAATCAGCAAAACGAGCAGTGAATAAATCTCCCGTCAAGGGTTCTAAGTATTTTATGATTGACGGGGACTCATATCCAACATAAATTCCCAACCTCCTTTGAGGACCCATCTTAACACGCTGTGGTGGAACAATAGGGATGTACATAACATAGAGTACACCCCAATATTTTTAGATGAGAAATATTAGGTTCCTGACCAAAAACCATATGCAAGGGGGAAATTTAAGGATAACTTGTTGGCCTTATGTGAATTAATGTTGCTACATGCAATATGGCATGTCCCCAACAAGAAATTGGCAAGCTTGTTTTCATAAGCAATGGTCTTGCAATAAGTTGCCAACGCTTAATAAATGATTCTGCAAGACCATTTTGTATATGAGCATGTGCTACATGATGTTCAACATCAATCCCAGTGGACATACAATAGTCATTGAAAGTTTGTGAAGTAAATTCACTAGCATTATCTAGACGTATTTTCTTGATTGGAAAATCAGGAAAATGTGCTCGTAGTCGTATCAATTGGGCAAGTAATCTAGCAAACGGTAGGTTGCTAGTTGATAGTAAGCACACATGTGACCATCTAGTTGATGCATCAACTAAAACCATAAAATATATAAATGGTCCATATGCTGGGTGAATTAGCCCGCATATATCACCTTGTATACGTTCTAAAAATCTAAGAGATTCACTCCTTACATTCACAGGTGATGGTCGTATAATCAACTTGCCACGAGAACAGGCAACACATGGTACATCTTTAAACTGATAAATTTTGTGACCTTTCAATGGATGTCTACGTGTATTGGAATTGTTATCATAATATACTCTTTATTCTCTTCTTCTTTTGTCTCAATATGATATCCATTTCGGCGAATATCTTTGTAACTCGATAAATTTATTTGAGACTTTGAAGAGTATAAGGCTTCATTGATATATAATTTGGTTCCTTCTGGTAATAATACACTAGCTCTTTCGGAGCCTTCAATTAAATTTGTACTTCCAGATATAGTACCATTTGCTTCCCGCATTTCAAGATGAGAAAAATATTTCTTATCCTTCAAGATTGTATGTGTCGATGCACTATCGATAAGACACACATCGTGGTTTTTGATCTTGGTGCTAAGCATGGGAATATTCATTCTTCACAAAAAATAGAAAGTAAATCAATATAAGAAAATATCTCCAAATAAATTTAAAAATAATGACATTATTGGATTATAATAGATAAAATTCAACCACATAAGGATTATAAAGAGAAAATTATATTAAACTGACACATTAATAGGAAAAACACACTCAGGGAAAATGACAAAGTAAGTGAAATTTCAAATGCGAAACCTAAACTTTTCACTTGTGAACAAAGCGACAAAGAAATAGAAATTTCAAATGGAAATGCAAAGTTTTTCCTTGCGAACATTTCCATCACCAATCAGGTGATCTATTTTTCCTTCAGGGTGGGCAAAGAAGTCAGATGCATCTCAATGAGTAGCATCATTATAGTCTTTTCGTAAATCATCTTCCTCAAAAATACAATTGGTTTCTATCTTCTTCCATTTCAATGATTCTTGGTAGAGGTTAACCAAGTGTTTTGGCGTACGACAGGTACGAGACCAATGACTTTTTCCACCACAACGGTAACACACATTTTCGGCATGTTTGTTACCATGAACACTTTGTTCCTTGCTTCTTCTACCATCATTTTTTCCACTTCTGGGGAAAAATGAGCTTTTGGAAATTTCACCATGGCCACTACCACGGTCAAGATCTCGGCCACGACCTCGAGCGTGACCACGCCCACATTCTCGTCCATGTCCACGTCCATGTATTTGCCCATAAGGATATTGGGTGAACGTCGCTGTATTCACTTCTGGGAATGGGGCGGCACCAGTACGACGAGATTGGTGATTTTACATTAAGAGCTCATTATTTTGTTCAGCAACAAGGAGACAAGAAATCAGCTCAGAATATTTCTTGAAACCTTTCTCACGGTATTGCTGCTGCAGGAGCACATTGGATGCATGAAAAGTGGAGAATGTTTTTTCCAACATATCTTCATCAATAATATTTTCTCCACATTACAGTAGTTGTGAGGTTATTTTGAATAGCTCCGAATTATAATCAGTCACAGATTTAAAATCTTGTAACCTCTAATGCATCCAATCATACCGCTCCTTCAAATTAGTCCACAAAATCAGTGGATCTTTTACCGTATAAGATACTCATTCTTCAATCCCTCGTGGAGGTGATGTCGAAGAAAGATCATTGCTTTAGCTTTGTCTTGATCTGATGCTTCATTGCCCTCTTTAATCGTGTCTCCGAGACCGTTGGCAGCTATTTGAATTTCAGCATCTAGCACCCATGATAGGTAATTCTTTCTAGTGACATCAAGAGCCACAAACTCAAGCTTTGAAAGATTCGACATACTATAATAAAAATATACACAAATTAAATTCAAAATTCAATAAATAAATATAGATTACTATCAAGACAAACGACTTATGTGACCCATGATATATCAATTTGATATTTTTACAAATATATAAATAAATTCGAATTTCAAAATAAAAAAATTATAAAGGAAAAATATATTGAGATTTTTATACTACTACTACTACGAAGTATATATAATCATGACTTGCTAAAAAAATTATTAAGAAGGAAATTATACCTTTGGATTCTCAAACAAATTTCATGCGTTGATTAATAAAGAAAATGATATGTAAATTGAAATAGGACAATAAAAGAAAAAATTTGGGAGAATCGACATACCTTGAGCACAATTATGGATTTATCCTTTTCAAAAGGAAGAGTCTCGTGCTGATAACGTGTTATGAACAGTTATTCCATGAGACCCCACCTGCGACAGTTGATACAGCTCCAGTGGATCCGGTACTTCTTTGGGGGCATGGTCACCATCGTTTTGACGCAGTTTGGGCAAACGAGGTAAGTTTTCAAACTATTTCAGTTTTTTTATTAGTTGAACTGAACTGAAATTAGATTAGAATAGAATTAAATTACGAATAGAATTAGAATAAGTTTAAATTAGATATATAAATATAAATATTAGGTGAACTGAATTTAAAGTACGCATGAAATTGAATTAATATAAGTTTTGTGCACTATAGGTTGGTGATCGACCTTACCACATTCGAGGTACGAGCAATTTGGTAAGATACCATCCACTTTACCAGCCATATCTCGTCGATGCGGGCTTGTTTACGGTTCTGCCATTGGCCCCTTTTACTGGTGATCCGTGTTTGATTACTGCACTCGTAGAGCGTTGGCGACCCGAGACATCGACCTTCCACATGCCTTTCGCTGAGGTGACGATCACTTTAGAGGACGTTGCGACACTGACTAGTCTAGCGATCGACGGTGATGCCGTCGTAATAGACATACCAGACCAAGACTGGAGGGATATGTGTCTTCGTCGGTTAGGAAGGGCTCCAACTGAACTTGGCGGCGGCGCCATTAGGAACGCTTGGCTCAGGGAAACTTTCGATCAGCTACCACTTTCGGCATCACCAAAGACTACAGAGCAGTTTGCACGAGCTTATGCTCTGTCTCTACTAGGAGGTGTTTTGTTCCCTGATCGGTATGGAGGTTTAGTTCATCTGCAGTACCTACTTTTGGTGGATGATTGGCGCAGAGCGGGGAGGTTTGCCTAGGGAGCAGCTGTTCTATCCTACTTGTACCGTGAAATGGGCAGGTCGGCGCTGCAGATGACTGTGTCTTCTTCTATAGGTGGTGACCTTGGTGGATGGTCCGCCTTGCTGATGCTCTGGGCATGGGAGCGATTTCCTCATACAGAACCACTACATGTAGAGACGGGGGCGCAGATTACCGAGGACGCCCACCCATGAGGCCTTCGATGGCTTCCGCCCATACCCGTCAGCATGATGATCAGTTCTATTTGTACAAGTTGTGGTTTGACGAGTGCACGACAATCGTGGTTAGTATATAACATTTCGTTGATTATAATAGTGTTCATTGATTTGTTTTAGATTTAGGAGTAATTTGGTGCACAATTTTTGTGTGCAGTGGCATCCTTACTTTGATAGAGCCCAGGACTTCAGCGATACTGTGATCCAGTCTGACACATTTCAAGCAGTAGTTCGGCTGATTTGCTTTTCATCATCGAAGTGGCACCATCCAAATCGTGTGCTCCAACAGTTAGGAATGGTACAGGACCCGCCTCATCACCCACATCCTGCGACTGAGATTAGGTTTTTCCTTCGCCAGGGCCAGCATGGGCCATCACGTGGCCAGCAGTTTATACAGGCAGCCAACGAGTCGATTGAGTTGTGGAACCGTCGACATGAGTTCATCACGCGTACGAGGTACACTGACGTACCTTTAGCCTACCACTCTGAGCATCGAGATGTCACTAGATGTTCAGCCACACGGAGAGGAGCTGCAATGAACGCAGCGGTTAGTTTTTTTATTAAATCATATTTATGTTTTAATTTTTTTTAGATGTGTAGAATTTCTAATATTTTAAATTTAATTTTCAGTACGACATCATGGAGTTTGTTGAGTTGGGTTTACGTGATGGAATTCGAGATGGGGGGATGTCCACTGACATGTTGGTAGCAGGGGTTACAGCTTTAGATTTCAGTGAGCGCCGACATCCTGGTCCTACAGAACCTATACAACGGTATCATGTTGACGACCGCAGCTTAGACATCTGGCCAGAGCGTAGGGTTCAACCATCGGACTGGGGAGTACCACCGCCACAGTTCACGCAGGAGCCCAGGATCCGTAGACAGCGACGTGATCAGCGCGACGTACCTCATCCAGTGAGGTACTCAGATTGTCAGCTTGTCAGACCTACTCCGACCTTCCAGTTCCACCCGCCTTCTCAGCCACAATTTCAGCAAGGAGTGTTTGTCGGATTTCAGGCAGGCACCAGTTCGGGCCCACAGTTTCGGCCACCGGAAGATAGATTTCATACACCGTAGCATGCTGCGATGGAAGGCGGACACATGGGATCAGGTAGTGATACTGTACCAGATTTGGACCAAGATGAGTGGGAGCGTCTAGATGGTGATCAGGTTTTTCGGACATCGATGTGGGCTTATGAGCAGCAACTTCGAGTGGAGCATCTGGTGCACCAGATGAGCAGGTTCAATCTCAGGTGGATGACATGTTCAGTACACAGGAACAGGATGATATAGTAGAGAGAGAAGAGCCCCATCACGATGATGGTAGGCCTCCACGAATTAGGAGGGCAGCGAGGTGTGGTACTGGCGGCCATCTAGTGGCAGAGCATGGTGGTCGTCGTGGTGGTCGTTAGTGAGACTATTTATGTACTTCTTTGGGATATCTATTATTATTATTATGTACTTCTTTGGGACTATTTTTAATTTCATGTGGACTAATTCATGTTAGTGCTATTATCTAAATGAAAACTTTAAATATAAAACCAACAAACAACAACTAGTTCATATCATAAAACTCCAAACAACAACTTCAAACAACAACAACTTCTTCAAGGAAAATTGAAAGAAAAACAACAACTGCTACATTATATCTCCGTTCGAACAAACTACATACCACGTCTATTACCTCTACTTCCTCTTCTACCACCTCTCGCACTTCGTTGGCCACCACTCCCTCTTCGGTTGCTCCCACTGCCACTTGCTTGGCCACCACAGGTTGATGCTTTATGTCCCGCTTGGTTACAGTTGCTACACACTTGGTGTGATCCACCCTCCCTTGCCAATCCATTTTGTTGTGAATTCTTGTTGATCTTGGCCTCCCCGGCTTCCTAATCATGTGCAGATTAGGATGGAGAGTAGGGTCATTATGCTTCTTCCAACCCTTAGGTTCACCAAGAGGTGTGAAACTTGTCCCATAACAAGCCAACATTGTTGAAAGCTTGTAGACGTTGTTTACAAACCTATACGGATTAGCCCCCATTCGATTGCAAGCTGCAATGGCATGAGAGCAAGGAATTTTATTTCCTTGAAATTTCCCACAAGTGCATTAAAATAAATAATATATTAAAATAAATAACAAAATTAAATGAAAAAGGCTATCGGACTCGAAATAGTTGCTTATACATAATCCTGCTTTTAGTTTTCCTTTGCAAATTGTTTGCATAGTGTCGCATGCACCACCTCCACTCCCAGCCTCTTCCAATGTTATTCATGGCTTCATAGAATCCCGCATGTCTATCTGAAATGATGCATACATCATTTCGGTCGGTCAAACCTTGAACGTGACTTATGAACCATGGCCAACTATCAGTATTCTCGCTCTCCACTATGGAAAATGCAATTGGAAAAATCTTCTTCCGGCCATCAAATGAGCTCGCCATGAGTAGCACTCCTTTATACTTTCCAGTAAGAAATGTTCCATCAACAACCATGACTCCTGGACAATTCTTGAGTCCATCTATACAAGGTCCATAAGCCCAGAATACTAGCTGAAATATCGAATGTCCTGGTTGAGCTGATGGAACTCTTACCCAATCAATCATCGACGTTGGCATCTTTCTCTTTACCACCCGCAAGAATGTTTACAAATAGTCGTAGGATTCTTCCCAATTCCCATGCAACTTCTCCAATGCTCTTTGTTTCCCATACCAAGCCTTTTTGGAAGTAACTTGCATATTAAACTTATCTTTCATCTCGGTCTACACAGTTAGAACACTCAGATTTGGTTGGGCACGTACCAAGTGTTTCACGGACTCAGATATAACGTTGACATCAAGATGGCGATGATCCGTCGGTTGAGTCGTACTGCTACAATAATGCAAAAACTCGGCCTTTCTCACATTCCATTCGCCTCCCACATCTCGGCATCCAAATCGTACCATCCAAGGACAATTGTCATCCTTGTGCTTCAAACATATGATCTTCCAGATCGAAGGTGACGACCCCACCACGTTATGCTGAAAGTTGCATCATAGTGCGTAGTGTTTAATTGCCACCTGTGCAGCTTGTTTGGAGTGAAATATCTGTCCCTTGTAGAATTCTCCATCAAAACCAGCAACAATAGGCATTGGAATTACGCCATATGAATCAGGAACACATTATTCATCGTCCTCTTCATTACCCTGCAAGTAAAAATATGGAGGATAATTAGGATGTTCTCCTTCCTCCTTCTCCTCCTCCTCCTCCTCCTCCTCCTCCTCCTCATCATCATCATCATCATCTTCCTCCTCTCCGTCATCACCGTCATCATAGTCATGATCGGATGACACGCTCCATGTGTCATCTTCTTCCTCTCCACACCGATCCTCACAAAGCTCAGCATGTATCTCATCACCCAAACAATAAGGATTTCGTGTCACAAAATTCCAAAGCACATTCAAGCTATCATCATCCACAATAGGCATCGCATAATGGATTAAAACACCATTCTATCATTCTGGAAGACAGTAAGTGAAACCTGTAATCACAACACTATCTTGTACTGCTTCGTCTTTACGTCGTATTCTCTGAATTAGATTATCACAAAGTTTCTGATAGTTCACCCTGGATAGAACAGTCAACTGAAAACTTCTACCACCAACGAAATGGACGCCCAAATTGTCCTCTACTTTCTCTGATTTCCACCGAACAGCTAGTTCAAATCTTCTAAAACCACTACATAAAAAACAAACTCGCTAATTACTAATTGAACAAAATCATTATAGCATTAGAAGAATACATTAAAAAATAAATACGTCTCTTACCTATTATTAGCCATCTTCCCAGCAACCAAACAGCAACACTAGAGCTTCTCTCGTAACTTCGTTGATTTTTTTGGTGGCGAAGAACCGAAGGAAAGGTGGAGTATATATGGTGCTGGAGTGGAAGAGGGAGGCACCGACCATGCCTCAGTCTCGGGCGCCGGCGCTGAGACCATATAAACAGCCCTAAAGCCCCAGTCTCAGACGCCACCGCTGGCTTTTATTGAAAAATCAATAAGTAGCGGCCGCGCCTGAGTCTTGGGCTTACTCGCTGTTAACCTTAAAAAACACATGACATGCCAAAACACAACACCAAACTGCGACCAAGTGTAATCGCAGTCCGGGAATGCAGTAACAGGCAAGTTCTATTATCAACCCGGGGTCTAGATCTACTGCTTACTCCGTGATTGTCTATTATCTAGCAAACTAATTCAAGTGATTGTTGTTTAAAGCAAAAGCAGTAAGAAAGCAGGAAATGGTTCGGTTTTCTAAAGCAGGTAAGAGTCACTCGGGAATGAGTCCCCCTAGCCCCTTAGTTAGGTTCAATTGTAATTCCCCTGGGTTGATTCACTGTTGATTAGACTGCGGAAGTTCCGACAGTAGCTTGGAATCTCTTAAGCTGACCAAGCCCTCTCAGTCTAACTACCCGGCAGACGACTAGTCTTCACCGGGATAGAAAGCTGAAGCAAAAAGCACAGAACTCCACTACTGGAATTGAATTCCAGTACAAAGCAGTAAACTGGCTAACTCTCGTATAGCCAATCTCCTACTATCGAATGAAGAGGCTCTAACAACCTAATCAGATTCTATCTATCTCAGGTTGCAGCAGAAATTGAGAAAAGCTGATCAGACTCCAATCAATTCAATAAACATGCATCATTCGATTAAAATCAAACAGTAATATCATCCCAAGTCATTACAATCAAATCCCTAACACAAGGAACTAGGGTTCTTCATACCCAAGTGAGAGAAAGGTTCTACTCCATA